GCTAACCCAGCAGCTACGTATGTCTGGTACAAGACAAATGGAAGGACACCTCTCAGTAAAGAACCACAGCTTGTCTTCAGATCCATCCAGTCCTCTGACTCTGGAGAGTATTACTGTAGAGCTGTGAACAAGCTGGGGTCAAAACTTAAATCCATCACTATTGATGTGAAATGTGAGTCAAATAATTTTCACAAAAATGTCTGTCAGTATTTCTACATGTTTGCCTATAATATCATCTTTCTTCTGGTCTGTCTGCTTCATGTTTACAGTCAGCTGCTGTTACATTTAGCACAGGTCAGACAGAGCAGAGCGCGGCTGTGACTGGTGATTCAACAGCTGCTAAAAATGAAGGGAAAGTCTAGGATCTATCAAGTTTAAAGACATATATGATCATCTGTTCTCCATCTGTAGATGATCTGTGCTGAATGCCAGAAAACTGTGCATCTGTCAAAGATGAAACATGGTGTCCCCTGGCGGCTGGAGCAGGCTCATACCACAGTGCTCTCTCTGTTTTACTCACAACACATACTTAAAGATCTGAACTTTACTACATAAAACTGATTTCAGTGTTTTTAACTACAGTAGGTGGTCTAGAAGATCTCCAGTATAAAGCTGCCTTTATTATGTTTAGTTTGTGCATTTTTGTTCTTCTCATTTGTTGTTTACATAAGCAAACCAAACCCTGATGTATGCCTAGAAATGCAAACTAAAAGAGAAATATGTCACAAAGCCACACATGCTGTTAAGCATATTGGTTTTTCCAATTAGAAGTAAAATTATTGAAGCTTCTGTAAAACACATCTGTCTGTGGTTTCTAGACGATCTGCAAATCTTTCCTTTACTGACACAGTGATGGTGGAAAGTTTGAACTGGCCTTCATGTTCCCAGAAATGAACTGTAATTTGATCCACTCATTCAGTCACAATGTGTGTGAGGATGACGACGTTCCTGCTAACACCATCCAGAACCCTTCACTCCTGTTATTGTACACTTACACAGTTAGTTGATTTGGTCAGAAATTCAACCTACAGTTACCTCCCTGTGTTTTCTCCTCCAGATGCTCCAAAGCCTCCCTCTGTGTCAGTGAGTCCGTCTGGTGAAATCAAGGAGGGCACTTCAGTGACTCTGACCTGTAGCAGTGATGCTAACCCAGCAGCTGCATATGTCTGGCACAAGATGAACAATCAAACACCTCTCAGTACAGATTCACAGCTCTCCTTCAGCTCCATCCAGCCTGCTGACTCTGGAGAGTATTACTGTACAGCTGAGAACAGGCTGGGAACATCAACACCTACAAACATTTCTGTTGATGTGAAATG